TGGCCACTTTCTTTCATTTTTAATTAAAATATAGTTATTTCTTTACCTCTCCTCCCTCCAACTTCTCCCATGCCCATTCCCTTAAACTCAGTCTCCTAGTCTTTCATTGTACATATTATACAGTATATATAATTGTATTAAACTATATAATATATACATAATCTGCATTATATGTGTATATAGTATATATAAAATCTGCTGAGTCTGGTTAGTATTATTTGTGTTTTCAAGCCTGGTCACTTAGTACTGGATAATCCACTAGAGAGCTCATCCTGCGGAAGGCTAACTCTCCTTGTTCAGCAGTTAATTGCCTACAGCTCTTCATCTGAGGGGTGGGGCTCCATGAATCTGGCCTCACATTGGTATGTCAATTAGTGTCATTGCTGACATCTTGCTACCATATTGTTGAGATTTCATGACTGGGACTTCCCTGTCACATCTAGAAAACAACTGTTGCAGCACACTTCTTGGTCCTTTGGCTTCTTTGTTCACTCTTCCTCCATGTTCCCCGAGTCTTATGTGTAGGGGCTGTGCAAAAGATGGATCAACTGGGGTTGTGTACCCAAGTCAGTTGTTCTCTGAATTTTGATGAGTTGGGGACTTCTGTAAGGGTCTTCTGCAAAAGAAGCTTCTCTGATACAGGATGAGAGCTACACTTAACCATGGGTGCAACTGTTCAGAATACATGGGAATAGGACTTCTACTGGTCTAGCAAAGTAATAGAAACAGATACTCCCAAGATTCATGACTGCAGCAGACACAGGTACTTGGCTGGGTTCATTATACCAGGCATGATTTCTCTTCTATTGAGGAGGCCTTGCGTCCAATTAAACAGCAACTTGAAGAGGAAAAAGTTTATTTCACCTTGCAGCTGCCAGTTCTTCATGAAGGGAAATCAGGGCAGGAGTCCAGAGACAGGCATGGAAGTAGAAGCCAATGGACACTCTTAGTGGCCTGCTCCTTATGGCTTTACTCGGCTTGCTTTCTTACACAGCTCAGGACTGCCTGCCCAGACACTGTACCACCCCTTTTGGTCATGATCCATCTCGCAGCAGGGGAAAGCTATGACATGTGTGACTTACCCTCCATGTGTTGATCAGACCCTGTCAGCAGCAGGTGGTGTGATGTTAAGTGCCCTCAATTAAGTTGCTGAAGTCTCTCAAGCACCTTTTGCTTCATGTATTTTGTAGGTCAACTGTCAGGTGGTTACTGTCTAGGATTCCTGTCTCCTGAATGGACTACCTTCATCCCCCTTGTGAGATGTTGGATGTGTCTGCAATTCTGGCATAAAAGAGGCTGACACTGGAGGATGGTGAGTTCAAAAGCCAGCCAAAATTATGCAGTGAGATCTTGTCTCAAAAGGGAGAGGGCAGCAAAGGGCAAAAAGATAAAAATATACAGCTTCCCTTTCTCCTGAAATGTGGTCCACAAAGGAATTTGTGGACCATCTACTTCCCTCAAGCTCTCTCCTAAAATATTGCAAACTTCAGGTTAGCAAACAAGAAAGAACCAGTCTATTGACCTGATGAGCATCTCTAAGACTCATATCAAGAACAGATGTGGTCATATGAGCCATTTTGTCCACACACTTAGCTGACGGACTATGTTCTTTCCTAGAGCCTGAAACTGAGAAGGCACGAGCTTTCCTCAGTCCTGTCTCCACTCCGTCTCTCCTGCATGCACCCGGGGCACCCACTCCTCCAGCACCCACTGTCCTCGACTCACTACCTTCCTACCCCATCTTCAGAGACAAAACTGAGGACTGTTATCCCCGGGTTGTCTCTAGAATGTCATTTTTTCCCCATCTCAAAAGTCACAGAGAAAAGAAACCGTTGATGTCAAGTGTAAACGTTATTTAAGCAATCAGGAACTCTATCCAGATCCGAGACATCCATGAGCTTAAGAAAACGAATGAGCACATAATGATTTAGTTGGCTTTCTCTTTTAATCAAAAACATACTTTGTTACAGAGTTCTCAAGAAAGATTCAACTTTTATTTTTTTAAAGCCACAGACTTCAACCAGGCAAAAGTCTATAGAAACAAAGTGGGCCTTTAGCTGACCAGGTTTTCCTAAGAGCACAAGCTAAGAGTGGGCCCAGAGCAGGAGACAGAGCTGGGAGTGTCACCACCAAATCTGTCCCCAACGCCCAGTCACCTCTTCCACACTGGATCTGCAGCACACTGGTTTCCATAACCTATAGGGAGTCATGCTTTTAAGTCACGTTAGATGCATTGAACAAAAACCCTCCTTGTTTGGAGAAGTTTGCCAACTCTATATTTAGCCTTTGAACTAATCCAAACCTGTGAGTCCTTCTACCAATGACAAGCAGCCTTAGCAAGAGCAGCTGGCTTCATCCCTGCTTCACAGCTGCCACAGATGTGGCCTCTACCAGGACTCCCCACCCCCACCCCCACCCCCACCCTCAGCCCACCCACTAGAAAGGTTCCCAGGTCCTTAAAAATAACAAAGTCAGTTATTATACTCATCCAAGCAGGCTGGAAGGAAACTCTCTGAAAGGCATGATCCAGCCAAAAGTTGTCTAATCAAAATGGATATAAAAGAGGCAAAAATAAAGTGAACAGTCATTCACTGGGACTGTTTTTCATAGCATCAATTAAAATATTGATATAATTTCTGAAGAACTTCCTGTTTGAGCGTAGAAGAATTAAGCTACTAAAGACCCAGAGAAAGGACCTCTAATATTAATTACTAGGCATTAACAACAGGATTTCAATCCATTTTAGGTGAAGAATTGGCAGCACTTAGGAGGACAGTATCATACATATACTAACTTCAAAGTCAGAATGTCATGACAGATGAGGGCCTTTGAGAGGCTCTGAACACAGATGATGACACAGTGAAATGAAGGTGCCCCCCACCCACCTCCCCAGTGTTCTGAATTGTACTTACTGAAGCCCCTAACGTGGTGCTAGGCCTTTGGTTAAAAATAAGTTGTAAGGACATATTTAACTACTTGTCCACAGAAGAATGAGTACTGAAAGACCAAGCCTAGTCTCACCAAGTAACAAAGAAAAAAAAGTAAGATCCCCCTCAAACAGCAGAAAAAAGGTAAAGAGCAAATCTCAAACTGCTGCAGGGTGGGCAAGGTCACTTAGAAGCCAGAGCTGGCAGAACAGTCCAACCCCTCATTTCACAGACAGGTAGCCGAGGCCCAGAGAAGGGAATGACTTGCCAGGGACACATGACGTCATGAACTACAAGTGCAGCAGTCTGAGTGAGTCCAGAGCCAGCTTCAGGTTGAACTAGAACATGAAGTCTGGAGCTGCTGAGAAAAGCATCTTAAACTGTGTGAAAAGCATTTTTAGCAACACAGAGAAATGATTGTCTTCACCGAAATTCTCCTCAGTCCTTCCTATATTAAAAAAAAAAAAGAAAAGAAAAAAGGACTTAAAAGCTTCATTCATTTATTTCATTTGATGCTAAAATCCCTGAAAACATCACTCATTGCATCAGCTATTCCTTGGGGTGTGGTATCAGACCCTCAATTCTCATAAAGGCACCTATAGGTCAGAAGTATCTACAGAGGAAGGAGGCCAGAGCGCAAGGTCAGGACACTAAACAAGCAAAGATGTTTCTAAAGTGTGTGGTTTGCTGGTGCCTCTAGCCAACAGTACAGCTTTCTGAGTGAATTTGGTGGAAACTAAATCTTTTAGAACACTGGGGAGAGGGAAGCAGCGATGGGCTATGAGTATCACTTAACTCCACGTCAACCATGGAAAACTCATCAAGAACAATGCCAAAGAGCAGTGCATCGAAGTCTCTTTCAACCCGACAGGAAGTGTCCTGGGTGAACACTAACAGTCTCACTTGTCTGGTTCCCTCACCTAAGCAAGTAGGACAGTCAAGCAGAAATCACGAAGGAGAGGCTCGGGGGCCACTCATGAAGCGGTAGCTGTCAGGATGGAGGATGGGAGACGAGAGCCCAACACTGAAACATCCAGACTACAGCAGCCATTTACAAATGCCTAGGCAGTACTGTCTCTCTCAGAAGCCCCAGAGATCCAGAGACAGCAGAGAGAGAAAAAGAAGAAATGGTATACCAGTATACTGTGATTTGTGTAAATAGCTCCTGCCAATAAATGGCTCATTTTTCAAAAGCTTTACTGCTTAATAAGGCAAGACGATGAAAACTTTCATTCCTCAGGAACGCCAGATGAACGGCCTCACTGCACTGAGAAATAGGCCCTGACAAGTACACTGCTAGGAATAAGGCCACTGGCTTTTTACATACTGCTTACAGCATCAGGAGAGAAGAGACTGCTTGGGTGCTAGAAGGGAAAACCAGGAAGGCCTGAGCAGGAGTTGCAAAGGAGGATTTCAGGGGCTATTTGCAGATGGTTCCATGTGGCTATTCCCCTCCAGGCCCCTGCCTGTGAGAGTGGCTCCATGTTCCACTCACGGCAGTGACCTAACTCAGACTTTACTACTCGACCATTGAATAAAGAAAATAGTGACGAAGATAAGAACCTACAGGAACTACCAAAACCATCTCTGGCCAGCTCTGAACAAAACTACTCCTACCAAGGGCTCTCAAATAATGGGACAACAAATTAAAATTTTAAAAAATTGGAAGAGTGACAATTAGCCAGTTACTAGCAGACTGGGAGCAAACACATTTCCCTCCACAGATACTTCACAAGCATTCCAGGAAGATTCCCTTCTCCAGACTGTAAAACCTCTGAGTTACTTTGCTTTTCAAAGTTGCTAACACAAACCACACCATTACCCACAAAACTGGATTTTTAACTTTGAAATACAGCACAGCTAAGCATGTGTTGGTTGCTGGATTCTGCAGGTGTGTTCCCTTGGCCAGCTCATCCTGTCTGTGATCCTGCACTGTTTACTGGAGCAATGGGTTAGGGCAATACAAAGACTGTGGAAAAAAGCAAGTTCACGGCAGTGAACAGCAGGGGCAGTAAAGTACAACAATTAAGGTAGACTCTATCCCAGAAAAGAATCTACTTCCAAGCAAATAAAGGCAATGTCATTACGGATTCTCTTTAATCATGCACAGAAAGGCACAAGACAAGAGTAGAACGGGTTCAAACTGGGTAGGCCTAATTCACTTCTCACCCAGTGTCCATTGAAATTTAATCTTGGGAGACTTCTGAGTTACAACTCAGAAAACACCCACCCAGAACCATACCCACATCATAATCAGACTCTAAGAACTATGGAAACTATTTTATCCCAAACCTTTTAAACTTAGGAAAGTTTTTTTTTTTAAAGTCTTATTCAAAGATAGCAATGTATAAGGAACAAAATGAAACAGTTTAACTGAGCTGTTAGGAATTCTAGACTCCTTAAAAGCATAGGACAGGCGAATTACAAACTTCATCAATAACTAGAAATAATTTCTATGGCTCTTAGTAAGAAAACCAAGACAGGTGGCTTGGCTCTGAAGAGATACTTCTTAGCAAATATTTCCCACATAGTTTATGAAGATGATTAAATATGGGAAACTTTCCATAAAGTACAAAAGGAAGCATCAAGTTACAGCATTGCATGGTCAGATAACCTGGACTTTAAAAACTTGTTACACTAAAACTTACTCTTCTCACTCCTATTCCCCAATCATAGTGAAATGGGTCTAAAGACAAACATTTCTAAAGAAGGTATCTTTTTATAATTCTGTCAATACAACATTTTAAAAAGAAATCACCAAACTTATACAAATAAAATTAGGTCTGTAACAAAAGTATTTATAAGTACATAAGAGTAGAAACTGGTGAAGAAGCTTTTTACAAAACAAGATGTGTTCGTTGGACTGAGATGTACAGTCACAGCAGCGCTCTGGTTTCTAGGAGCCTCCGAAACTTCTGAAGTAGGCTGCAGGGCATGGTCATTTCTGTTGTCACAGAGAAAACTGCTATGCACAGTGTTTCCAGAGCTCAAATGCCTACTGCAATTTAAAATTCACAGAAAACTCTCAAAAGAGTAAAAACATCTCAATGATGATGTTGATTTTATTCACACTATTTATCCAAGACTATTTTTTTTTTTTTTTTGGCTACAGTAAAATAAAAGTTCAAAAGCTACCCAACTCTACACATGATCCATAATGTACACAGGAAAGTCCTGGTAGAGTGTGGAGGGAAACCAGAGCTGCACAATACAACCGGCTGTCACCTGTCATTTAGTAGGTGTCTTGCCACTGAGATTGGACTCAAAAGTGCAAAAGGAAAGCATTTTAAAAACCAAACCTAGAATTCAACTTCATATATTGACTCAGTTTTATTTACGCTAGTAACTAGGTAAAAAGTATACATATTGTGTCTGTGGTACAGTCAACGCGTCTCAATTCTACTCCAATCTCTATACAAAGTCACCGCCGAGAGATCAATGATGGCAAACAAAGGGCTTAGAATAACCAAAAGGTATAAAAAAGTTTGCGGTCTTGCCCCAAGATACAAAAACTGAATTTTAAACAATGTCAAAACATACATGATTTAAACAGTATATGAAAAAATGTCACACATCAAATCAAGTACAAAAATATCCAAACTACCTGTTACCGACTGCACTGTTTCCATTATTCTGCACAGTATTTAACATAGAATTTAGCAGTTTCCAAACTATTCATTATTTTAGTTGAAGCACTGCCACCTTGCAGAACAGTGAAGCATCAGGCAGAGCAACACTGCTTTAGTGTTTTATAAATACAAAACCTTCTCCCTATGAATTAAGGGAAAAAAATTCCTCCCCTAGGCTTTATTTTATTTTTTTAATAACCAACCTTGTGCCTAGAAATATAGAAGAATTCATTTACTGTTTAACAGGGCCAAGTATACACCTTGATAATGGTCATCCATTAGGGATAAAAATTGTAACCTTAAACAGCATTTCTTTGACTGATAATTGTAAGGAATTGTCAATATGCACACAGATTAGTGTTTTGTCTTGGGGGAAAAACCCTGAAGTCTGCAAGACAGTATGAATTTAATTCACCTTCACTGTTTAACTTGCAAAAAAACATTCTGAATAAAAGGTTGATAAAAGGTTTTTAAAAGAGAGTGAAGTTGCTCTTGGTAAAACTGGCTCACCCACATGCCACTTGAGCACAGTATGTTCAACAATAACTTGCCCACTAAGTAACAGGTGACTTAACTTTGAGAACTTCTCAGCCTTAAAATCAGCAACCCTGACTTTATTCTGCAGAGTCACACACCCGTGTCCTGCATGTAAGGAGCGCTCACATACTTAAAGGCTGAGCTCCCAGCACTGGAATGACTCCTTCATACATAACAACCAGTGAAGATTTAGTAAGAACTGGATCTTCCTGATCTTCAAGCTCTGAGCCATGCCTGAAAGTTCTAAAATAGAAAAAAAGTTTTAATTCAGTTTCTGTCTGCTAAGAGCAAGGCAGCAAACACATCTTTCAACCCTTTATGAAAAGACAAAGCAGAACAAAAAATGCAATAGATCTTCAGATTATAAACACGAATATATTTCATAGTCCACCATCCTGGAAATGGTTAGGGCGTCTGTGGAGTGAGATCTCAGTCTAAAGGCTGTGGGTCCGCGATGGGCATGGTGTGCAGGACTTCGTCCAGAAGCTGCAGAGCTCTGTGGAGGTGAATCTCAATCCAGCATGGGGTTTCTTTGATGCTCTGTCTCGGGTAATCTGGGCCCCAGCCCTTCACAAAGCTCATCCTGAGTATGCACAAGCGCCGGAGGTCATCTACACCAATGCCAGCAGCAGCAGACAGACCTAACAGAAGCAGAAGTGGGGAGGGTATCAGGGAGCAGGGTCCTCTCTTCCCATCCTCCCCACAGTTTGCCCTTTTAACTTATTTTCCTCTCAGCATACACCTTCTCTGTCAAAGTGTCAACAGTAACTGCAGATGTAAACCTTAGCAGTGGTGAGTGAAAATTTGGTTAAGACAGTTTATATTTCATATATGTATTTTAACTACCAGAGAGCAAGTAAATTTATACACGGCACCAATATTCCCCCCACCCTCCTCTTCAGAAGTAGAGTATAGGAGTAAAAATCAACTTCTCTGTGAAAGACAGGGCATGTCCACAGTTCTCAGAACCTCAGCATCAAAACTGCCCCACTAGAGTAAGACAGGACTAATAATCAGAGGGTCATATACTTGGCCTTAGACATCTCAGTTGACTTGTATCTGTCTCTCAGTTCTGAGATGATATGGACGGGGAAGCATGGATAAAAGTAAGAAATTCAATACTGGTCTGAATTCTTAAGAAAACAGATCATGTCTACAACACTAAAACTAGCCAATGGTTTACGATCCCCAATCTTGTTTAATTGAATTAGTGATGTCGTGTGTATACCTAAATTGTGACTCTTGAACCTATGTCACAACAGACTCTGTCTCATTTCCTAGTCAGGACGGCCACGTCATCAGTCCACACTGATCATTCGTACCATGAAACCAATGGGAAGAATTTGCAAGTGCTGTGGAGAACCCGCAGGGCCCCTACAGGTCTCTGCACCAGTGTGATTTGCTTACCACACTGCAGAAGTTAAGAACAGGGGTTGAATGAATCACTAGTTATGCCTTCAGACGTGCAAGATGGGTGCCACGTGTTTCCATCATAAAAGTCTATAGCCAGGAGTTTAACTCTGCAGTAAAAAATTCCCCATCAGTGTGAAACCTGGCACAGTTCGATTTCACTCTAAAACTAAAAGTCTACAAGTTATAAACTGCCACCCTCACTTAGTGTTCTGTTCTCAGAATACGGTTTCTAAATGGAGCTGTCCAGTTCTGAACCTGCAATATCTGTTCCCATCAGCACAAAGCCGAGCACTCAGTAAGTGTAATAGGAGAGACTGAGATATGCCAACCCCCTTTATGGCCTGATGCAAACAGGCTCCTATCCTAGGAAAAGTGAAACTACAATAGAAGAAAGGTTTTTACAAATTCAAATGTTATAACCCAGTAAAAAAATTTAATTTCTATTATTTCTTCAAACAATCAACTGAGTGAATCAAGATTAAAAGTCACCACTGCACTTTGAACAGAAAAATCAAAGGCATACGTACTAATTGCTGGGGCTATTCCACCTACAGACCCAGGACCAGGGATGTTTCCTGCCACAGCTGCTGCCTGGGCAGCAGCTGCAGCTTGCGCAGTGGCCGCCTGTTGCTGCATCTGCCGGTGACACTGCCGCAAATCAAATACCTTTTAAAAGCAAAAGTGTAAATTTAATATATGAGTGCACTACCAAAGATTCCATTCCAACAAGCAATATATCAACAACCCAGAGATTCATTTGCCTCTCACATGAAAGGTGCTAACTAGAAGTTTTTAAATTTCAGAGCCTTCCAGAGTACCCAGGTTTGGTCCTCAGCACCCACATGACAGTGTGTAACTATGTAACTGCAGTCCCAGGGGATCTGACGCCCTCTTCTAGCCTCCAAGGGCTCCAGACACTCACGTGAGGCACAGACAAACATGAAGACAAAGCACCCAGACACACACATAATTTTTCAAGATAAGTTTTTAAAATTTTACAGTTTGGATATCAACAAGGTACATTTCAGTGTCTGGAACAGAACCATGTGAGCCAGCTGTCCCTTGCTTTGTGATGAGCTACCTCTCTGTGTCAAAAGAACAAGTAAGAAACAGTTCATCCTTTTAGATTCAAACTATTAAGTTGTCTTTTAAGCTATAAGGGATGGCTTTGATATCTGGCCAATGTCTTTGACAATGCTTAAAATTGGAAAATATAGCAAACTGCATTGTTACTATATAAGAAAACATGTATAGTTATTATATTTAAAACATTTACTATGTGAGTGTGTGTGTGTCTGCATGCAATGTGTATGCAGATGCCCAAGACAGCCAATTGCCTGGAGTCAGAACTACAGGGAAATGTGACATACCTCATGTAGGCTCATAACAAAACTTGGGCCCTCTGGAGGACTGACAAGTACTTCAAGCTGAGATTCTAAAGCTTGTGGAGAAAGTACTTTGCCAACTGAGCCATTTCTCTAATCTTTACCCTAGAATTTAACTTTAATGAAGCCCAAATTATCAACTGTTTTTACAAATCAAGCCTTTGATGTTTTATCTAAAGTTATCAACAATCATCTAGGTTTAATTCTGATAGCTTATATAAAATTCACATTTTGTTGTGTTTTACCTATATGCAATCACTTTTTAAAAACTCATCACTAATCAAGTATAATACATGTAATTCTTTTCTGGGGGGTGGGGGTGGAGAGGTTTTACTATGTAGTCCTGGTTGGACTGAAACTCACTATGTAGATTAGACTGGCCTGGAGCCCACAGAGATCTTCCTGCCTCTGCCTCTCAAGTACCAGACTACACGGATGTGCCACCATGTCTAGGCCATATGTAATCTTATTATTTAAACATAGGCTAACAAAAAAAAATGTTCAACATTCCTCCCACCTACCACAAATCATTAAATTCAACCAAATAATCTTCACATATGGGTACAGTACAATTATGTTGTAAATGATCGCATCAGCTGAACAAATAGTACACCAGTGGCATATATTACAAGAAATCACAAAAAAATGAAAACTGATGACTTGAATCTGATGAAAAAAAAAAAAACCAAACAACCAAAACGATGTACCAGATACTGCAGGAAACCTTTCTTCCATAATCCTTCATGTAACTACGATGCTAAGAGTGGAAAACAAAGTTTTCAGTCAAGCCATACAACATGTCTAAGACCTGTGTGCTTACTGGCTTCCCACAGGAAAGGTTAGCTCTACACAAAGACTTCCTGAATGTGAAAACAAGTACACTCACTAAAATGGAGCCATCTTTCTTTCAGAGTCATCTAGGTTGTTGATAGACGCAATTCAAAGAGACCAAAGGCTATAAATATTCTCTTTAGCAAAAATACAAAACGGTATTTCTGACCCACCCTTCCTAACCTAAGGAACAAGTTAACTAGTTAACTATGACTACTTATGACCGTGGCTTCTGCAGCTGCTCTCATGTACGTTTATTACAAGCTCATTACGAAACACATGTGAGTGTAATACTTCAGTATATTATCTCTTTCAATCTAGAGCCAAATTTTGCATTTTTTATAAGCCTCAATTATAATTTTCTATCAGCTTAAACTAACATCAGGAAATAGCCTAGAGGAAAAGCACACTCTGGTGAGGTATGTACACCTGTGTATTAGACTGCATACAGGATTCACTAAGTTACTGAACTAACTCAAGGTAGAGATCACAAACATGGGACTGAGAAAATAGATAGTGCAGTGCTAAGAGCACCTGTTGTTGTTGTAAAGGACCCAAGTGGTGGCTACAGCCATCTCTGATCCCACTTCCAAGAGACCGGCCAGCCACTTCTGACCTCTGCAAGTGCATACACACATGCTGGCAAAACACCCATACATAAAAAAGTAAAGAAATATAATTTTTTTAAAAAAAATCTCAAAATGCAGATGCTGGGAATAAACTAAACTTAATGGGCTCATAACACTTTTCCAGCTAACTCTCTATAAACAGATTTTTGTTTTAAAAGCATCTTCTGCTTTTCACCCCCATATGTGTGTGTTAAAAAACAAATCAGATTCAATAGTCAAGAAATGCTACTAAAAACTGCAATGCGATTCCACCAATATTGATGAAAAATAGGTCAACTGAAAGCATCACACACTAAGGGAATAAATACATGGTTTCTGTTTAGCAGATTGTCCCAGTAAGGGTTACTAGTGCTTGACAAAACACCATGAATAAGAGCACCTGAGGCAGGCTTATTTCACTCACAGTTCCCTATCAAAAGTTCACATTCATGGCAGTGAGAGCGACAACTCAAGCAGGGCAGGAACCTGGACAGGAGCTGATGCAGAGGCCATGGAGGGTGCTGCTTACTGGCTTGCTCAGCCTGCCTTCTTAGAGAACCCATGACTACCTTCCCCAAGGATGGTACCACCCACAATGGGCCAGGCCCTCCCACATCAATCACTAAGAAAATGTCCGACAGGCGGTGGTGGCCCACGCCTTTAATCCCAGCACTTGGGAGGCAGAGGCAGGCAGATTTCTGAGTTCAAGAGTTCAAGGCTAGCCTGATCTACAGAGTGAGTTCCAGGACAGCCAGGGTTACACAGAGAAACCCTGTCTCGGAAAACCAAAAAAAAAAAAAATGTCCAACAGGCTAGCCTACAGCCTGATCTTTTGGAGACATCTCAAGAGAGGCTCTCTCAGTTGAGAAGATAACTCTTGCTTGTATCACACTGATGAAAAAGTAGCCAGTACACAGACCTTCCAGAAGTAAAAGTTACTTTAAAATCTGGGAGTTCATAATGGTTAAGGCCCATCCTGGAGATACTACATATCTTGGTCAAAGGACAGAGGATCAAGCAGGAACTGGGCTAGAAGCTCTCAGAAGATGCCTGGCAGGCAACTGGTGGAGAAGTGTCCTAACATTGTTACTCAGCTGTAGATTCTGGGTACAGTACAACTGACTGATGTATCTACTGGTGCAACAGTAGCAAGTCTGTTATGGAAGTAACCAACCACTTTTCATTATGCTTGATGTACACATCTGGTACTGTAAAACCTGACCAAAACCCAGTAGCTGAGGAAGTCAGAGGCCCCAATGAGGAGACTACTGCTATTTTGGGCCATAACATGCCCATCAAATTGCCTTCTTGTGCCTACATTTATGTCCATGGATTAGTGCTGCCATCAATTTTGTTCAGAAATACTTTTTGCAGTAGTCAGTGGTAACCACAGATAAAATGCTAACAAGTACCTTCTAGATGCAATTCATAAATAATCTTTATCACAACCATTCCAGTTCCAGGGGATCTGATGCCCTCTTCTGACTCTGCAGACACTAGGCACCCATGCAATGCACTATATATGTGGAGGCACTCATACATACATATAAAAGAAAATAAAGAATAAAGCCACATAAAGAAGACAAGAAAAAATTCTTTATTAAAACTTTAAAAGGTAGGTGTAGTGGAGCATGCCTGTAATCTCAGTATCCATGAGGCAGGAAGATGAATTCAAGGTCATCTACGGCTATATGACAAATTCAAGGCCAGCCAACAGGGGCTACATGAAACCCTATCTCAAAAACTAAAAACACTAATACATTTGTTTATCTTCTCTTAATTCAACAGGGAAATGTCTGTCTGTGTATATGTGTACTTCTCACTGTGTAGACACTCCTAGGGGCTCACATTAATTTGCATACAATTCACTTCATTGGTGAGACTCTACAATAACTCAACATTAACTGAAACAGATCCTTTACTCACCACTCCCAAAAGAATCATCAAATTAGAAAATATCAGTAGTTCAATATAAGCTATCTTTATACCAGTCTAATAAGATTATTCTGAAAAAAACAAAGACTCCTTGCCAGGCATCTTAATTTGCAGTTAGTTCTACGAAGGGATGAGGACACTCCATCCCTTGAAACTCTTAACTTTACAACAGTCCTCAAAAACTCTTAAACACTGGCTGAAATGAAATTTTAGTTTCTTTTTTTCACCAATTTAGTGTTAGAGGATACAGGTTTGAAAATTTTAGTCAATGTTTTCAAGACTGGATCTATTACTCTAAAGGCCTTCAGAAATCTGAAGCACTAGGACATAAAAGCAACCACGAAGCTAGAGAGCTGCTTACAGCAGAGCCCAGAGCCCAGCCGCGCAGTTCACACTTAGCACACATGCACACTCTGCTGTCCCAGCCGTGCAGTTCACACTCAGCACACATGCACACTCTGCTGGAGTGCTGCTTCTGTTTGTTGAGATGGGGTAGTAGTACATGGACCAGGCTGGCCTGAAACTTACAAACCCCAGCATGCTTTGAATGCACATGTGCCCACTACAAGATAAGTCTCTCCACCTCTGGCCAAAACATGTCCAACCTAAGACAGCTTTCTACTTCCCTCACCTCCACTTCAAGGCTTCAAAATCTCTAAAATATTTGTATATAGATGCAACTGACCTTTATATATGCACTTGGGTAGATCTTATGAACAGCATCGCCAGGTGCTCGGCCAGCTTCTCTGTCCAGGTAGTAACTCTGCACAAAGACCGCGTGGTCACTAAGGCACCTGACCCAAACGTCGCCTTCGCCTTTACACTCCAACTGCACACCTTTGCCTATGTGCAACCTCAGGAGGGAAAGACAGAACTTACATTTCATCTTGTTATAACTGGTGCAGAGCAATAATAAAGAATAAAGAATACAAAATAATACCTAAGAGACAGCCATCATAAACAACTTTTTATACTTCCTTCGTTTTCTTTTTGTATATAACGAATAAATATAGTAACAGACACAGTACTTACTATAGTTCAGAAGTACTCAAATTTCCAAATAACTCAGTGAGGTAAATTCTATACTTTAAGATTTTATTTTTATCTGTGTGTGTGTGTGTGTGTGTGTGTGTGTGTGTGTGTGTGTGTGTGCGCGCGCGCGCGCGAGTGCATGTTAGGGGAGGTGCCCATGAAGGCCAGAAATTGGCATCAGATCCTTAGGAGCTACAGCTACTGGGAGCTGTGGGTAGTGGGAACTGCACTCCACTCATATAGTAGCTTAACAAATGTTTTTAATGATGGAGCCCTCCCTCCAGTTCTATATAATTTCTATTTTTATAAGAAAATTGAATCTTATATGCTACATTGCTCAAATCATCAGCCACTAAAACCATAAAGCTATTTAAAATACACGTAAATTCAGCTATTCAATTACATGAACAGTATTTTAAGCTTTCAAAAGCCACACATGATTAATGGCTACTGAATGGCATAGCACAGACAGAAATCATAGTTATAAAACAAAGAAAACTTTATTTTTTAACTCGATATTAAGCAAATACCTTTACAATTAAAATGGAAGCTTACAAACAAGTTCTAAGTATTGAAAATGACTTAACTCATCTATATTAAGACTCATATCATAGAAAAACAATAGTCTTGCATAAAAGTTAATATACTATTCAATGTCTTTACTCTGTAAACATACCTTGCTCTCTCAATAGCTTCTGTCCTGTGGACATTGGAGAGCTGACCCAAGCAAAAGCGATCTCCTCCAGAAGGATCCACATATCCATCCACAGTTACAATAGGGCAGCTTGAAGGAACCTTAAATGTCTCTCCTACCTGGACATCCATTTCAAAGTAAGCAATGGAACACCAATACTCAGGAGCTACAGAAGACAAGTGAAAAAGAGCATGCACCTTTGTAACAGATGTTAGTGAGGGAGGTAGTCACTACACCAAGCAAACCTAAACCAAGATGAAGGGGTGTTGGGATAGGGAAGCAAACAAAAGAAGTCTACTAAAAGAATGTAACCCACTGAAAGAATAGTGATTTCCATATTGTATTTACAGTACGTATACCTTGAAACTCTAAGGACCAAGTCAACTGAGAATTTAAAGCACATGAAGTCAGACTAGGCAGGCGGCAGTGGCACATGCCAGCACTTGGGAGGCAGAGGCAACAACAGAGACAGGTGGATTTCTGTGAGATAGGCCTGGTCTACAAAGTAAGTTCTAGGACAGGTAGGGCTACTCAGTGAAACCCTTAGCTAAATCAATCACACTCTAAAATAAACTGTTCTATTATGATAGTTCATTCGATTACACATCTGTTCTATGGTCTGAATTTTCAATTTTAAAAACTACACTAGCCCTAACACATAGTCTTTGTTGTGTTTTCACACACCCCTAATTAGGAGAAAGCCCCCACACCAGCCAACATATTCCTTCTTACACTTAGAATTATGTAGTTATCTTACAGGGAGATTACTACTGTCTCTCAAAAGTGAAAGGTCATCTGCCCAATGTACATACACTGGGATACAGCAAGGGATATTTTTAGCAAGTTTTTGGTAAAGAAGTACAATTTCAGCTCTGAACATATATTTAGTTTATCCATCTGAAATGACTATCAATCAGGGTGGGGTGGGGAGAAGAGACAGTGCTTGGTTTGGATTGCAAATATAGCTAATTACTTCTGATTTTGTTTGCATTATTAAATAAAATTCATATACATGTAATTTTTTGTTTTCCTTTTATATTTATTTAACATATACATATATATACATACATATACATATACATACATACATACATACATACATATATATATATATATATATATATATATATAATCATCTAGGGAATCTTTTGGTGACATATAGAAAACAGTAAATGAAAGAGTTTCCAGTCCCTCACAGATATACCTCAAGCATGTATAGGGCAAATGAACAAGTGAACATGAAATATACATCATGAGCAACACTGCAGAGAGAATCAGAGTAAAAAGAGGAGGACAGGCAGTGGAGGATGGGGAGGGGAAGGAGGACAGGCAATGGAGAAAAAGAAGATTGTCACAGGACAGAAGATGACTGGAGGACACTTCAGCCTACAAAGTTGAGGGACAACCTATCTGAAAATTCAAGACCCGAGTAAAAAGCCCTGCACTGGCCCCAGTGGAAGAATTGATGAGAAACTAGGATGGGAGTAATAGTTTTGTCTGCAGATTTATCTGTATCATGGTATGTTATAGTTTTTATAATCTAAATCAAAACTTTCAACAATCTAAAACAATACTTAGCATGACAAAAAAAGCCTACATTTCAAGCCTCCCCAATGAAGTATTGACACTTAAAACTTACTGTTGGGGACCAACTCCGAGCAGAAAGCTGCTATCGTCTTTGCAGCCATCTCGAGCCATATACCCTGAGAAGAGACTTGTTCTCAACAGCCCACAACAGCTGAGTACACACTGATAAACATCTTGTTTTTCTCAGATATCTTTTGTTGTTTGGTGCCCCCAGCTGCAAGATGCACGTGGTAAAGTGTCTTCAGCTGCATGTCCCTGTTTATGCTTATATACACCCAGGATTTCCTTTCATTAAAGGAGAGACTTGAGGAGAGAATAGACCAGACTCTGTCTCGTTTCTTTGCGTCTCTCGTCCCTCTGTTCCCCACTCTCTCTCTTGCTAGACCCTGACCCACACACAGATTGGAGCAGCAGCTCCGGGGGCTACAAAGTGGCCCCCAAACGTAGGACAGAACAGGCCGTTACAAAGTGGTGCTCAACGCGAGGCAGCAAGAACGTGAGAACCAGTGAGGGACGTTACCGGAAGAAGGGTCGACTAAAACTTCAGAAGTGAAACAAGTGACTGCGGCAGTGTGGAGACCAGTAGGTCATAGTAATGATAATGGGGCAAGAAATAAGTCAGCTTGAACTCAACTCTCAGCCTGAACTCAACTCTCTGTTTTTGTTTTGTTGTTTGCTGCTTACATGTGTTAAATTGTTTGCTTCTGTTTTGCTGTTTAAATGCTGTCTTTCATGTTCAAAAGAAAAAGAAAAGCATAGAATCCAAAATACGACCAAAGGTTGAAGTAATCGATCTGTCAGAGCCAGATTGTGCTGACCTAGAGGAAGAGGCAGCCAAAAATTAAGACCCTGAATGGTCCTCTTCCCATAGGCCCCCTCCCTCTGCTCCTCCCCCTCCAGATGCTCCTGCTATGGAGATGGTGGTTGGAGATCCCAGAAAGGAGTTACAGGATAAAATTTCTCTTCTTAAACAACAAATTTCTCTTCTTAAAAAACAAATAGAGTTAGAAAAGGAGTATCAGGACTTAATCAGCTACAAAAATTAAAGACAGGGAAGAGGTCTCAAGAGGGCAAGGAAAATCCCCCAGGTCCTCACGTTCCTCAACCCAGAGTCCAAAGGCAGCCCCTGTCCTCTGGTTTTAGTACAGCCACAGATCAGCCAGAGGAGGGAGAGGCTGAGGTTTTCCTGTATCAGACTAGAGACGCTCAAGGGGTTGCGTGGAGACATCACATAGGGTTTAATTTTCAAATTATTAAAGAATTAAAAAATTCGGTGGCACAATATGGTGCCACTGCTCCCTTTACTCTTGCAATCTTAAAATCTGTTGCAGAGGAGTGGCTGACTCCTGGTGATTGGAATACTCTAGTGAGAGCAGTTCTTAGCGGTGGTGACTATCTTATTTGGAAATCAGAGTATCACGAGAATTGTAAAGAGACAGCTAGGAGAAACATTCAGGCAGGTAATGGTTGGTCCTTTGATGCCTTAGTAGGAGAAGGGCACTTTGCTTCTAGTGATAACCAGATGCAATATGACCCAGGCTTATTTGCTCAAATTCAAAATGCAGCCATGAAGGCTTGGCGCAAACTCCCGGTAAAGGGAGACCCTGGTGCATCTTTGACCTCAGTCAGACAAGGGCATAATGAAAGATTTTCTGATTTTGTTCATCGATTAATGACAACAGCAGGGAGGATTTTTGGTAATGCAGAGGCAGGTGTAGAAGAGCTTGCATATGAAAATGCCAATTCTGCCTGCCAAGCGGCCATTAGACCCTATAGGAAAAAGACAGACCTTACTGGGTATATCAGACTCTGTTCTGACATAGGGCCCTCCTACCAACGGGGCTTAGTTAGCTATGGCAGCAGCCATTCAAGGACAATCAGAGATTTTTTGGCAAGCAGAGACAAAAAGGCTTGTTTTAAATGTGGCAAGCCTGGACACTTTGCAAAAGATTGCAAGGCAGAAAATGAGTTAACCCAGAGACAGCCTAGAAAACAGCTTGGCCTATGCCCACATTGCAAACATGGAAGGCATTGGGCTAGTGAATGTAGGTCCAGGACAGATGCACAAGGAAACACCTTTTCACATAAGCATGGAAACAGGAACAGGGGCCAGCCCCAGGCCCCAAACCAACCAGGCTTATGGAACAGTCAGTATCATACCAACAAACAACAACCCCTTTCAGAACTTAGTCAAGCAACCCCAGGAAGCACAGGACTAGACCTCAGTTCTGCCACACACACAGTATTAACTCCAGAAATGGGACCTCAGGCCTTACCCACTGGAGTGTTTGGACCACTCTATCCAAATGTGTTTGGCCTGATAGTGGGAAGAAGCAGTGCTACTATGCAGGGACTACAAATTTTTCCTGGCGTTATAGACAATGATTATCAAGGTGAGATTAAGGTAATGGCCAAGGCAATACAGAATATAGTCACTATTCCTACAGGAAGGAGAATAGCTCAACTATTACTTCCATTGATTCCCTACTAATCACAAATATAAGAGTCCTAAGAGAGGGGATCAAGGCTTCGGTTCCTCTGATGCATATTGGGTACAACCTATAGTTAAACAAAAACCTATGATGACAATATTGCTCGATGGGAAGGCATTCCAAGGTTTGGTTGATACAGGAGCTGATGTGACGATTATCAAACAAAGCGACTGGCCTGCCACCTGGCCTCTGACCCCAACTTTAACCAATTTAAGGGGTATTGGCCAAAGTCAAAATCCACAGCAAAGCTCTAAGGTGCTGACATGGAAAGATAAAGAAGGGAATACAGGGAATATACAACCCTATGTCATCCTGGGCCTTCCCATTAATCTCTGGGGCAGAGATCTGTTATCCCAGTTGGGACTGATTATGTGCAGCCCTAATGAAGTAATCACGGCTCAAATGATAAACTCTGGATTTTCTCCAGGGAAAGGATTAGGAAAAAGTGAAAATGGATTACTCATCCTATTGAGGTCCATGGTAACCCTGGAAGAAGAGGCTTGGGGTATTTTTTATGGGGGCTATTGATTCAGCTGCACCCCTAGGGCGTTGTGCCGATCCCATCACCTGGAAGGGGGACTCGCCTGTCTTGGTGGATCAGTGGCCCCTAACCACCGAAAAATTACAAGCTGCTCAGTTGCTAGTAAAAGATCAATTTGAAAAAATTAAAAAAGGGGGAATGGTACCCTACCAAGGGATCCCCCAGAAATTTTAAATTTCTTGGCTTTGGATTCTGAAGGAAAATCTGCTGCAGATAGATTCTAGTATCCTGATACCAAAAAGAATTTTGCAACAGTCCTCTGGAAAAGACCCATTAACTGGAACCTGGAATGGGCCAGATCCAGTGCTTATCTGGGGAAGAGGTTCTGTCTGCATATATTCCCAAACAGCAGATGCCGCACACTGGCTGCCAGAGAGACTGATCAAACAAATAGACAACAATAACAAATCCAGGGAGGAGAAATCCCCTGAGAAGCGTATTTTTTCTTTACAGGAAACAAGAAGATGCTTCACAATTGTCTTCAAACAGGAGCGGATCAACCAGCATACAGGACTTGGGAAGTTCTCAGTGTGGAAGAAGACATCA